AAAAAAAATCACGTAGCTGCAAGCTCTACTTTTTATAATGTTAAGCATGAGCAACAAGCATCATGAGTCATTGCTAGCTTCCATTTTACAAAACACTGCATGACGAAGTATGAATTACCATAAAACAATTTTGCCTTTTTCTCAGATGCTAGACATGACATTCTTGTTTCCATTTCTCTCGACGAATCATGTTCGCACACAGGGACCAAAAAGTTATCGATTTTCGCTTTTCGCAAAGGCGACTCTGATGCTCCAAACTTTCTAATGAATGTAAACAGGAACAGGCCAGTACGCGAGAGTTATCTTTTGTCTCCCATCACAGCAGATATTTTTTTGTTTGGAAATACTTGTTTTATTGTTGACCTGGAACCTTTTTCGGTCACGACTACACATCCTGCGTCATAACTGAAACGTATGCCGCTTAATTTGCGTCATAATCCGAATTGTGCTTGTCATCGTGTCTCGCCCATGTCGCGCGTTGTCTAATCGACACAAATTAGTACTTTGTGCTGCGTGTGAGGATTACGTCAATGAGGATCGAGGACCCTAGCTTCTAAGTGCAACCGACTGGAAACTCGCCCGCTACCGCCAGTCATGCTGGCTGCGGCTACTTTTTTTGTCTCTGACATTTTCGTTGTTTGACTGTGCAAAGTGCGACGAACCTATGCCGTTAGAACATCTTATCGCAGGAAGCGCTGACCGCTGCATGTATGAAAATAATATTTTGTTATAGATGGTTGACGAACTGTCAGTCGGCGAAGACACATCTGTTGGTGAAGAACAGTATGCTGGCGACGGCAACGTGTTTGCCGGAGCGACGATCACTGAAGCTCAATCCTACGATATTGCTGTTCATGCAGCAGCATGGCCGATGGACAGAAGAACAAATAGTGGAAGTGAGATTTTTGAGCATGATTTCTCTGTGATCCCTTTCTTTTGATATAGTTTCTGTCTGAATTGAGAGTCACACTGCTAATCCTTCATTTTTGAACTTCGTCATAATCGTCACGTTTTTTGACATAAGATTATCTCTGAAGTGTAATATCGACGCATTAGTGCTCAAATCTCCGCATACAGTTCTCTTTCGTTGCTGCGCTTGTTGCAGAACAAGCACGAAGAAGACAGCAGTGATTTCAAACATTTTGTCCTGATTCGCTCGCATCACTTGCTTTTTCTAATCGGAACATTTTCCCGTCTAAGATTTTTGAAATTTACCCATACCGAAATGATTATTGTAACGGGGCTGCGGTTATCTTCTACAACGCTCCTTTCTTTGATTTATGCACTTTCAGGAAGTTCTGAAGCAGAATTTTGAAAGCCCTATTTTCGCTACCTACGAACTTCTCTGCGACAAAGTGGGGAAGAATGCTCTGGAAGGTAGGCTGTTTCCTACTCGCATACTATTGAGTTTTTGAGTTACTTTTTCTAAAAACGATTCCAACTTCTATAAATGGCGGTTACGATTCTCTATATATTACATGACGTACTATCTGTACCTTTGCTGCTTTCTTTATCCAGTCCTCAAACGGTTTTTCTGGATATATTAGCTGCTTCTGTTGTTAAGGCGACATCGTTTGATTGATTATTCATCCAATGCAGGATATTTGGATACTTAGTTTGTAAAAACTATGATTCATTGGTGATTTATGGATATTTATTGGTCAAATGAATATGCTTGATCTGTAGTGACACGATTTAGAAGAAGGCGATCTTCCAGGAACCACTGATGATCATCCTCGGCGAGGATCGCGTGGCTCCATCCTCAGTGGAAAAGCGAATGTTGAGCCGGAGGGAGCCACGCCGACAATATCTGCCCATCACTTGGCTCAGCTCAATTTGTCAACGAGTTTTGAATGTGTATGTTCCCCTTCTCGCATTTCCGATACTCATTAAGGACCATACGTGTTTTATTGCTGAGAAAATTCAGGACTCCGATGACTCTTCCACTTCCGATATCTGTGACGATTCGCCCTCAAGTTCAAGCAGAAGTAGGACTCGTGGTCGATGCCAGTTTGGTTTGGCCATGAAACCCGAGGAGGGAAATCGCAACGAACACAGGTTATTTGTACGTTTGAAGTGGCATCCAGCTGAATACCTTCCATTGTAGACGACACACTTTGTGCGCAAGTGAGCAAATCTTGTCGCCGGATGTTATGGCTAATCTGCCCATAGGTTCACCATTACACCAGGTAACGATTATCTTTTGCATTGTCATGCTGCTGCCGAAATTATTCTTTGTGTCTCTTAGGCTGCATTGAATCACACGGCCTTAAATGACATGGCGTTGCATTCGGGCGAGACTCCTTTAATGGCCTCTCCACAGCTCCCTATATTTCCTGGGCTACCACTGCTGCCAATTTTGGACTACACGAGAATGCTACCCGTACCTAGCAGTTCGTTTTCAATATCTTTATGGATTGCCATTTTGTTTTATAGAGAGCTTACTTTTCAAATCACTCTTATCTTCTTCTTAGGTGAACGACGTGCTTCCGCGGGCGAGAATCTGTTGAATCCTGGTGCTATAGAAACTTTGAATCATCTTGTTCAACCTGCCCAGCCGTCCGCTGCTGTTCCGAGTGTTGAGGAAGAAGGCGAAGGGTGAAAATTATAGTTGTACTCTTTTGCATCTAGGATATTCGGATTATGTCGACATTTACAGTTATCTTAGTAAATACTCTGGCAAGAGAAACACCGTGCACGGTGCATCATCACCGTTTGGACCATCATCACCGGTCCCTCGGCATAGTCCGTATACGAAAGCATCGTCAACGGAGAGGTTGGCTTTTTTTATCTTTCTTGTTGTCTGGGATGAAAAGCTTGTCATTAAGACGTAGCAGTTGGGCATCTCCGGCAATTACTGCGCAACAACATCAGCAGTTGGAGCGATTATATCGTCAAGCTATATCTGGTCAGTGTGCAGAATCTTTACAGATTTTTCCCTATCTTATTTTTCTTCCTCTCTACGTTTCACAATATATTATACCGACATATCCGTCATCTTTCTCATGAAAGTCAAGTTTATAAACTATAAGTTTTGCCTGACTGTTCATCTCATTTTAATTTGCCTAATTTTCACAGCGAATAACGCAGCTGGCTCGATTTTGTCTTGACTTTAATGACTATCAAAACGCTGACGAAGGCCTTTGAACTTGAAAGTGTTATTAGCATTCTTGGGGAGCTTATATACTAGCTAAAAAATCCTTTTTATTCAGCATCATGTGACCAGACTATCGATATTTTGCATCAGAGTTGGTCAGTCGAGTCCTATGTGAGCAAATCGATAACACTCTTCGCCAAGTCCAAAAGTGCGCATACAAAGCTATCCGTGGTTCACATTTCCTTTTTTTGATAACCTGTGACTTCTGCACTTTCATTCTCTGAGGCGTACCTTTTTGATCTATTGTGTCAAGAATTTTGAACTGCAAGGTTGACTTGGATTATCGAAAATTTCTGATACTATGAGCTTCTTTTCTGATTTTATCAAAGCTTATACTTAAGCAATGCGCGAATCACACTCAATAGCGAAAGCGAAGTTTTTGTTCAGCAGCATTGATTTTTGGAATTTGAGCTTGTAATGATTCATCTGTGAACGCTGCTCCGCAGGAGGTCCGTCACACAAACATACATGTTATACAGAGCTTCCGGGTTTCTTGCTTTTTTGGTCATTATCGTCACGCTA